AGAGCGGACGCGACGCTTCGTTGAGAGCCTGAAACCTCAGCTTCCCTCCATTCCCGGGTGAATGAATGGAATTAGTGAGGAAGCTAGCTGAATAATATCGGCTCTATCTGTGGGGGCTAGACCGGGAGATGAAACATATCAGCACGGCGTATCTGCATAGATGTGGGAGACGGGTGCTCTCGCCTCGTAGAAGAGACCAACCCTCCTCGTCACCTCCATCTAAACTCTTCTCTCCCTCCCTCCCTCTTCTTCCCCTTCTAACATCCTGATTTTTCAAATAGGAACAGAAGGACAAAATGCGTCGTTTTGCAGTCGTCAAGATCTCTTCTTACATCCTCGTAAAATGTATACGTGGGATTATGCTCCATTCAGTACTTTCATTTTCAGTAAAGTTTATATTTTAAGATCATTAGATTTTCCGGAAAATCGAGAATGGTATGCAGAAACTTAAGAATGATTTCTTGGTTATGAAGATTTAACGAGTTTCTTGAGAGAATATGATAAATTAAAAATTAACACACAAAAGAGATCAGAAAAAGAAATAAGACGTTTCACTTTATATAGACACTCTGTAAACTTTAAAAAACTAGCACAAATGAAAGTGACAAATTGAAATGAATTTCAGCTTTTCTTTTCACGTCCGCAGTCTCGTTAATGTTCTCATTCGCCGGGATTGTCGCTCGCTGAATACAGTGAGATAATTTCTCAGAATTTCTCGATGCGCATTCTAAGATTACGACGTATCCGCGCTCAACACCGACGCATCAGATTATACCTCTCGTAATCGTAACAATATTTAAATCTCGACCAGTGCTACCGTCGGAGATATTAGAAATGCAAATATGTGGCACGAAATCCGAAATACGCCAGCTCGCCGTAGTAATCTCGCGGACAAGAGAGCAATCAAAAGACATCCTGTTATCCCCGGGGGAACACCCATACTTAACTCCAGTGCCTCCAATGCCTCTTTCGAACCGGATCCATCGTCAATTCTACGCTCTTCGAAATGCTCGTCTTATTTGACTACTATGTGCCACACCCTTTTCTTACTGTGTGTCATCAAGGAAAATTCTTGAAGATGTCAGTGGCATTTTTCTATTAATACATTTTCCCTCTCTTTCTCTCTCTCTCTCTATTTGCTAAACAACTAAAAATGTTAAAACGCGTTATTTAAACTTTTTGAAAAATAGATAAAGTAAAAATAATTTAAGATATATTTGTGTCGATAACATCAACGATCCTTGATTACTAATTATCATGGTTAAAGATACGATTGCGATTATCTTTTTTTTTTATGAATGATCTTTGTCGGAGCTGATTGCACCCTATTAAAAAATTCCGTTCCCAAAATCAGGCAGGTCATGTTCGCATTTAGGAAGCTGGCCTTATGTGACAAGGGTTCGGTCGCGACGGTACCGCTCGTTTGTCACTGACACCGATGTTCTACAGCGACATCGAAGAACATCCTTGTGATTCTAACGAATGACTTAACTAACTCAACGCGACTCGATGGCTGATCGTTTCAACTAAAAATCCATAATTGGATTTATAGCCGTGGTAAGAAACATGTACGTCATTTAGAAAAAGGAAAATAAAAAAGATACGAAGAAATATATGCAAAATTGAAATATATGTGAAAATAAAGGGAATCGCGGTTAGAAACATTTTTATCATTTACAAGATTTGGATTCGTAGAATTATAGAACCGTTTTGAAAATAGAGTTAGAGTTAGAAATAGCAAATGTGACTTGTAAAAAATTTTCTCAGACTATCACATCTCTCTCGCTTAACTTATCTCTACAAGCAAATATAGACATTAGAATATAGTAAAATAGGGAGTGACTTGTGCACGGTGAGTCGAGGCAAACCAAATTCAATGGTGCCGAGATTGATATCCTGTTGCTCGTTGGTTTTAGAACCCCCAGGACATCGCAGGACCTCCTACAGTCATCTACCGCGCTATCCTCTTCCCTTCCTTCCCTCTTGCCTTCACCGAGTCCCCTAGGATATGGGTCTATATCTTGGAATGAATATAATATATTAGTTACACCATGGAACCTGATGCAAAGTGTCACGAAAGTTATTCGTTTTCATATCTAAAGGTGTTTAGGTCATTTCCTCTTTGGTTCAATCATTTCTCGGAATTCGATGGAATTTTTTTTGACCTGGCTCGATAAAAAATTAAGAAAACGGTCTCTTTTTTTCCCTTAAGATACCTGTCTTTTGTTTTAAACGGTTATAAACTATATCTATCTATAATTTTGACTTTTTCTCTTATATTTGTAATTACATGCATTGCTTCTGTAACTGTGTATCCTAATTCCAATGTTTGTTGTGCGTATAATAATCGAGAGATAGAGATAGTCTATAAATTCGAAGGGATATTCATTGAAATTGCACCGGAACACAAGCTGCGCTTGCGTGTAATTTATCACGCGCAAACGTCTCGGATATGTGACTACGATCGGTTGACCACAATAGCCCGTGTTGATGGAGTCTCCCTTCGGGCTCTCTGACACTCAACGGTACCAATAAACGCAAACAAATTTCTCGAGGGCCCGGCGACGAGCCTCGTGGGGGAAAACGCTCGTCGCGTTTTATTCCTTCGCATTATATAGAGACGTATAGAATGTTCTCATGAAAACCGCACGTCGTCGCGAGTCTTCCTCTTCTCGGCACGCCGCTCGACAATGGTAGTGCACAATACTCGCCAAATTACGGCTGTTCCAGTCAAAATACGTTTTCTACGAGCTCTTCTTCTCCCCTCCCTCCCTGCCTCTTTCTTTTTTTTTCTCTCTTTCTCGTACATACTCTGTCACCCTCCCGGGTCTCCATCTCGTTCCTGCTCGGGGCCCGTTCTCCGTTTTGGTAATCGCGATCGGCCATCTACGGCCACCGTGCATCGGGTGACCGCAAACTGCAGCTGTATTTTCAGTTATCGCCGATCACCGATCTGCGGATTTTCGGTTTTTACGGAAGGCACGAGGGGATGAGAGAGAGAGAGAGAGAGAATGAGAATCAGCGCCTCTCGCTCCTCTCGCACTCGCCATCACTTCGCTTTTTACCGCTAGCTGCAACGTTAATTCGGCATTCCTCTGCACTCGCGTTTTCAGCAAACATGTGTTACACTTCCGAAACTCGCTTCTTCCAGAATCGTGTTTATCGATGAAATTTCATGTTTAAATCCAGTAATTTAAATTTAATTGGATCGATAAGTTCGTTTATTAGAGTTGCACTTTTTGCATATTATCCTTTTTTATTTTAAAGCCTGAATATACTTATCTTACTGCAGGAAGTAAAAAATGAATAGAATTTAATAAATCTAGAGTCTTCTAGCTTGTTGAGAGAAAAAGGTATAGATCGCTTTCTTTCCGAAGATCTTATAATTTGTAGTACATCTTCCTCGCGCAACGGATGCGAGTTTCGCATTCTCCGCAGCCTCCATTTTTTTGCGTAACGAAAATCCGTAGTTAAAAATCTCCGATAGCGAACGGCAGAGAGAATCGTATGAGCGCGAGGGCGAGCGTTAAGCAGCTGTCGCCCATTCGGTGCCATTGTCGCGCGATGTTGAGTGTTCCCGAACAGTGGAGAACGGGTCCCGGTATTGTACCGCTCCTGAGATCTGACGCGATTACTGGGCGCGCGATACTATCTCATCTACATCGGACCGTTCGCCTCTCTCGTTCTTTCTGCGCCTACATAAATACGTGTCTACGAGCGTGTACTCCTGCCCCACAGAAATGTATCCCTGTCCATCCTGGGAGCGGGAGCGCGCGCGAAGAAGTCTTCCGGTCAAACATCGCCCGACGCGAATTTAGATGTCGAGATTACCGCGAGCGCCCCGGCCCCGGCCCACGACTAAATCGCCGCGCCGAGATGTCCTTATTAAGATGGTCATATCACGTGGAAAATTTGCCGGCGAGGCTTGTCGACGTGCTCGTCGACAAAAATGGGGTGCGTATCGTCGCCATTGTGACACGGAATTGTTGCAATCCAATGTCGCTTGATGGGATGCTGCTTGTTGGCAAGATTGCACGAACACGGCATTCTCCTCGTAACGCGTTGGAACATTTTTCATTTTTCGGTACGGTATAAGATTGATTGAAATAGAAACAGCCATGAGTTGTCGCGTGAGAAAAGTTTTTAATAGTCGACAATGAAATTTCAATTATACATTATTAAAATAATCAAAGACGCATTTGTAAAATATATCTTTAAAAATAGAAATATGTCTGCGATATTTTTTTTTCAAAAATTTTCGTGTATTTCTGAATTAGTTTCTTTGCTCGTT